TTTGTGCAGTTGTGCTCTGACAGCCGCTCCAAGTGCCATCGCTTCAGCTGGTACCCAGCGAGACTAAGATCAGCGTGATCTCCTCAGGGGGCACTTAAAAACCAGCAACATGGACACACAGTGAAAGGGGAAACAACAGCTAACGAGGAACCACACAAGGCGTGCATGGAAGAGCAGCCCTGAGATCAGCAGTGACACTGCTGGAAATTGTTGACACCGGCAGGAGCTGATTGATGGCTGCTGTGCCCCTTCCAGCAGCTTTGTGGTGCAGGAGTTCCCCACCACCCTGAACCTGAGTTTGTTTTTGATCTGTTTCCTCATGGTTTGACATTTTAGTTCTCCCCATCTGCCCCCTGTTGCTGCTCAGCAGTGCCAGCCCAGTGGCCAGCTGCTGGTCTGCTGCTGTGCACCTCCACTCAGTCTCCTGCAGAATCATAGAACCATAGAATGGCCTGGGTTGCAAAGGAGCACAGTGCTCATCCAGCTCCAGCATCCACAGCCTCCTTGGGCAGCCATCAGCTTTCAACCTGTAGCATGAGGATTGATTGTCCCTACACCTTTCACTCTATGTAGCAGAGCCACAAATGTTATTTTTATCCCTGGATGCAGCTCACCTAAAGCTCTGACCAATCCCTTTTGGAAATGATGACTACCAAACTGTAGTCCCTCTGTATGGGGAGGGATTAACCCCAGATCATAGAATGAATCATAGAAAGGCCTGGGCTGAAAAGGACCACAATGATCATCTAGTTTCAATTGCCTCATTTGTGCAGGGTCGATGCCTGAAGCAGTCATGTTTTCATGATTTAGCTGCTGATGCCCACAGGGAGGTAGGGGAAAGTACAGCATACATGAGAGTGGTGAGTGGTAGAACAGCTGCCATGGCTCCTCAGGGCACAGCTCTGTTCTCTGCTGAACATGTTCCTCAAGGCAGACACATCAAATGGAAAATCCTGAAGTGACCTTTTGTTTCTATTCCTGTGATGTGAAATAACCTCCTACTCATTTTTTGCCGAATCCCATTGATTTCCATCTCCAGTGCATCAAGCCCTGTTTCAAACCCATTAAGAAAAATCTCAGAAATTGGAGTCACATGGGAAAAAAAAAAGGACCTTTGGTGCAATGAAAGTCACTGCAGCAAAGCCATTCCTTGTGCTTTGGGGACATGATGGGAGTCAACCTGAGATCCCAGATCCACCCAGACTTGCCTCTCCCAGCCCTTCTGCTTATAAGGGTGGATAGTGATAGGAAAGGGGGAATGGTTTTAAACTGAGACAGGGGAGGTTGAGGTTGGATATGAGGAGGAAGTTTTTCACCCAGAGGGTGGTGAGGCACTGGCACAGGTTGCCCAAGGAGGCTGTGGATGCCCCATCCCTGCAGGCATTCAAGGCCAGGCTGGATGTGGCTCTGGGCAGCCTGGGCTGCTGGTTGGTGACCTGCACACAGCAGGGGGTTGGAACTGATGAGCACTGTGGGCCTTTGCAACCCAGGCCATTCTATGATTCCATGGTTAGTTGGAGTCAGAGCTCATTTTCCATCATAGCAAGTTATCACACAATTAGGTGCATTGTGGGTTTATTTGATCCATTTCTGATGGGTTTGCTGTTTATCACTGTTGAAACAAATGACTGATGCAGCAGGTAGGGATTAACCCCAGGGAAGGACGATTAATCCTCGTCGTTATAAGAAACCTCAGCAGAGTAATCACCAGCTGGGTCATTTGTTTGGCTGGATGCTCTGGCAGCTCTGCTTGGAAGACATAAGAGCTCCTGAGATGGGGCTCCTGATTGCTGTAGAGCTGCGGAGCAATGAATCGGGTGGTTTAGTACCTGAGAAGAAAAAGCTGCTTATGTTCATGCTTGCTTTTCAGACAGCTCCAGGTAGCAGAGATGGCAGCTGAGATTCCTTCTGCTCTCTCCAACCCCTCCGCACGGTGAGAAGCGAGCAGTTTAACCTGGGAGGCAGGGGCTGGCAAAGACAGCAGGGAGCCTTCAGACAGCATTTGGGAAGCAGGGAGGAGTTTGTTTGTTAGGCAACTGCGGAAGCACGCGGTTCTGCTGGGACTGGGCAGCGCGAATCTCTGCAGGCAGGCTCACATCTACGTGTCTGCGCAGCTCTGTGCTGGGAGCTGCACAGAACACCTGCAGGCAGAGCTCTGCTTCTGTTCATTACAGCCACCGATGTTTGAGCCTCTGATGGCCGCTGTGCCGGCGAGGAGATTTAGGTCCCCTGTCCTGTAGAGGAGCAGGATGCATTACCGTAAGAATGGTCGGTCGTTACCCAGTATCGTCCATTTCCCATCGAGAGAACCCAGCAGAAAGGGCAGTTAATAACATCCTCGGTAGGAAACGTCTGTAGTTCAGATGTTAACGAAGGGAATCCCTTTTTGGATGTTACAGACCCATTTTTCTGGACTTACAAATGAAGATGATGGACCTCAACCTTTTGTTTTAGGGCTAAATTGACTCTGGGGCTATCCGAAGTACACTTGAGGGTATTCAGGGAGTAATGTGTGCACCAGGTGTGGGTGATTGACTGCCCGGAGCGCTCCCACAGCCCCCCAGAGCACTTCTAAACTGAAATTACGAGTCAAAAAAAAGTTACGCTCCAGACGCTTCTTTCCCTTCTGGCTTTTTTTCCTTCTAATTCTCCCATTCGTCACACAGCGTTAAATAAGCCGTGGTTGCTGTGCCGGAGCTCTGCGGTGCTTCACCGCCCCAGCGCTGCTTCTGGGCGCTTCGCTGCATCCCTCGCTGCTTAAACCCAACTCAGCATCACTGCCGCTCGCTGGTCTGGCCAGGAAAAGCAGAGCACAGCACGGCTACATCCACAGCCTAACGGGGGAGGCTGAGCTCCTGGTGCGGGGTCCCGTCACAGCACTGCCGTTTGTGCGGATGGGGAGATGCTCGAAGGTTTCCCGAGCTCCAGGCAGCACCAGAGCAACGCTTTAATCATTTTTTAACCTGTAAGATAAGGAAGTCGAAGAGAAAAAGCAGCTGTTAGTGTGAGTGTGCGTTTAGCCAGGTAATGGAACGTCTGTCATCAGGATCTCTCCAGATTTGACTGACATGAGTGTGCTCGGGCTTTCTGAAATCACATTACCTGTACAACCTTTCCCAACTCTTGTTAGTGAAGTCCTTAGGAAGACTGCCTTCCCTCCCATTACCAGTAAGTAAATTCGCTCAATTTTCCACGTGGAAAAGGGCACTTGTGTGTGCATTTGAAAGAACACGAGCAGCAGCTGCACCCAGCTGGCTCTGCCCAGGCACAGAATCACAGGATGGCCCAGATTGGAAGGGACCTTAAGGATCACGAAGCTCCAACCCCCTGCCACATGCAGAGCCACCAACCTCCCCATTTCATAGCAGCCCAGGCTGCCCAGGGCCCCATCCAACCTGGCCTTGAACACCTCCAGGGATGGACGGGGCATCACAGCCTCTCTGGGCAGCTGTTCCAGCACCTCACCACACTCATAGCAAAGATCTTTACTATGTGAAGAACATGCAGTGGGTGCTCCTGCTTGATTGGGAACCCTGCTGCAGCCTTGTTGGATAGGGCTGTACCCACAAAGGGAGGGAGCTGCTCTGAATGCAAAGAGGGCAATGGGTACAAAGAGCCACTCAGAGCCTGCAATTTCTCCTCCAGATTTCCAATCCTTGGCAGCTATGACAAATATGGCACAGCTTGCTGTTATGTTGGGTATTTTGTAGATGAACTGCTCCATTTAAGACAGATTCTACTCTAAGATTATTGCGTTTCACAGGAAACAACTGTTTTTTCTGTCATTACATTTCTGTTTTTCTGTTCAGTTTCAATTACCACGACAAGATTTTTGTCTTTTTAAAAAATAAAATAAAATAACCCAGCACTAAAACATTTGGAAATGCGTTTCTCTTATCTGATTTCTGTCACTTTATACTCAAATCAGCACTTCCCAGATTTCTCTGAGGGGGACTGTGAGCAATGCGTTTTCCCAAACGTTGTGTTTAACCACACATCCCAATAATTTGGCTTCAGAACTTAGGAATTAACTTTACTGAGGTCATTCACAGCCATGAGAGACAAGATCCCCCAGTGCACGGAATCAGATTAGAGGCAGGGGGGTTGAAGTGGATGATCTTTAAGATCCCTTCTGACCCAAGCCATTCTGTCATCCTATGAAAAATCGGTTTTTAAGGCCTTTAACTTTCTTCCATATTGTTTGAAGAAGCCTCCAATTTGCCTATGGACGTCTGCATAATGCTGGCATTGTCCCATTGTGGCCAGCTGGATGGAGCCTTGCTCATCATGGGCACGGCTGCCCCACGTGTGGGCTGCAGCTTCTGCAGGGGGGTCCCAAGGGAGGCACTGCCACAGGCTTTCCTAAAGTCTGCCTAGTTTGTGTTCTTCCACGTTGGGGCAGAAGTGGAGAGCATAGCAGGTGTGGTGTGATGTGGTGTGGTGGGGTCACCCCGACCCTCTGGGCAGTGCCTCAGAGGTCAGCCTGCAGCACGCCTGGCCTTCCCAAACGTCTTTTGCCACCAGCAGTGACTGTAACGGGTTGTGTTCCTGCAGGCTGCAGGTGAGGGTTTTGTTGCTAATGAAGGCAGGAGAGCGTTATTCCTCCGCAGCCCACAGCAGGAGCCCTGCCGGCGGGGAGGCAGCAGTGGCCGCGTAGCAATACCTTCGCGAGCACACCTTCGCGTAACATCGCTTTAAAGCCAAAACCCGCGATGCGTTTTGCACGGTTGCGTGTCAAAAATCCCTTCCGCGGACTCGCGCAGCGGAAATCTCGCTTCAGGCTCGGTGCGAGGACTGCCCTCCCCGCCTCGAAGCTGCCCCGAACCGCCACATCGCGGCTCCCCCCGCACGGCCTCGAAGCTCCGCGTCCCGGTTCCGCCCCGCTCCTCCCTGCTCGGGCGGTGCCTCTCGGCGGGGCGGTGCCTGAGCCGCCGTCGGCTGCCGGCGCGGAGCGGAGTTTCACTGGGCGGCGGGCACGGCGCAGCCCCGTGCCATGTAGGATGCTGCCGGCTCCCGCAGCCAAGCGGCCGCCGCCCCTGCTGTGGCCCGCCGAGCCCCCCTGGGCGTGGGCCGTGCCGGGGCTCCTGAGGGTCGGCGCGGCGCCCCCGCCGCTGCTGCTCTCGGCTCCGGCCGTGGGCTGGCCCGTCCCCTGCGAGCCGCTGCTGCCGCTGCTCGCCGAGCATCCCCCGCCGCTCCACGGGCAGGTAACGGCTCCGTGCCGATCCTCGCCGGGCGCTGGGGCCGCTCGGGGCTGCGCGGTGCCTCCGACAGAAGCCCGTGTGGGTGCCGTGCCGTGCCGGGCAGCGGCCGCTAGAGGTTCTTCGAGCCCCGGGCACGGGGATTTTCCGGCGGGTGGGAAACCCGCAATGCTTTTATTTTGTTTGTTTGGGTTTGTGGCTGTGGTGCTTTTTTTTTTTTTTTTTTTTTTTTTTTTTCGCCTTTCGGGCTCTGTGGGTTTCTGCTGTCGGGCCGTAGGCGCCGTTCGCGTGCGGTGCGTTCCGTAAGAGATGAGTGAGGAGGACGCGCAGCAATACGAGCGCAGCTCCCCGCACCCAGAGGCTCGTTCCGCTGCCGAGTTCCCCGCCGTGCCGCCGAGCCCAGCCCTGCCCGACGGGGTTTCGATTATTTCTCGCTGCCGCACTGGGAATAATCGGGACTGCGCTTCTGATCGCGCTTTGGCTGCAATAGTTGCCCTGCTACAGCAGGCGGAGCGACAGCAGTGCCGGCAGCTGCACCGCTCCCTTCGTAACGTTGGAACGAAAGTGCGAAGCAAAGCGGCAGTCGGTGTGCGGCGGGGTCCCGGCAGCGGCAGGCGGGGGCTGAGCTCCGTGTGAGCCCCTCCGCAAGAAATACTCTGCCTGCTTTTCATTTGGTGCTTCTCTCCTGAGGGTGACCGCTAAAGCCGCCTCCGCTGTTCTGTACGCGGGGCTCCGTCGCAGGCGGGCAGCACCGCATCCTTCTCCGAGCCACGGCCGGGCAGCACGAACGTGCGTTGGACTTGAAATTCAATGCAGTCACCCCGGAGGCGGCTGGGAGATGATGGAAGCATTGACTTGCTCGGGGCAAAACCCTTCTGTTAACTTCCTGCCTTTTTATTTTTATTTTTGCCCCCGCAGTGGATGTTTGGAGCTCATTCTCCAGTCGTTGGATTTTCACCATCATCTGGCGTGGAATTTGTGCCTGTTTTCCCCCCCGTGTACACATCTGCTGTTCCACCTCACACTGGGAAGAACTGGATAGATAAAAGGCTGCCGAGCTGCAAAGTAAGTCTGCTTGTGTTTAATGCTGATGCTCATGAACTGTAGCAGCTGAGAAATATTTCTGGTTTTGTAAACCGTGGCTGCATGCAGGAGGGCAGTAGTTTGTCCAGTGAAACAGCATGGTGAAGAAATATTGTGGGGTTGATGTGCGCAGAAGGCTGCTCCAGTTGTGTTATATCTTTGGTTCCATGAAGTTTTGCAAAGGATAAAATGCCAGAGGAGGTTGCAGTCTGTGAGCTGCTGATGGAGTTGTGCTGCTGAAGCTGTGGTGGAGGCACTGCTGGCTCCAGCACTCGTTTTCTTTTGGTGATGCTGCTTTAGCTGACTTGTGTTCAGGGCTGTCTGGGTTTGGAGCGACCAGCTGAGTGCTGTCCTCACTTACAGAACAGCAATCAGTCTGTTCTGGTGTTTGTCCCCATGTTGAGATCCTACCCACGCGGTAATAACAAGCTAAAGACGAAAACAAAAGCTCAGAGATGGAAGGGAGAATAAAGTCTCTCCAGCCTTAATGTTCTTTTGCCTGTGTTGGACAGATATACCTAAATAATGCATTTGCTCTGGATTCGGCGTGGATGCATCCTGAGGAACCGCGTCTCTTCCAGGGCAACGAGAAGCCTCTGCTAATGACAAATCAAGTGGCAATGGCCATTGCCAGGCCAGCTCCTGCCTCCAGGCCTCTTCCCACAGTGGTGCTGGCACCTCCGCTGATGCCAGGTTAGTGAATAATTGAGTATTTACCGCCATTCATGCAGCTCAGGAGAGGAATGAGCCATTTCCTGAAGTAAGGGTTTCATTCCGTTCATCTGAAACTCTCCCGACTGATCTGGGACCTTGATGGCAGAGAGCTCTTCATCCCCTAAATTACTTCTAAAGTACTACGAGAGTGTATTAATCGAAGGAGATTGCAACAGAAAATTCTGTAACTGGCTGTCTGCTTCCAGAATGATGGGAAGCCCCAAGGTTCTGGGTTTGTTTTCAACCAACCAACAAAAAAAGGCAAATGCAGTTCGTACAGGATTCTCCTATTTGCTGTGAATTTTTGGAGTGAGATGTGCTTTCCATAAACAGCTATCGGCAGAGGACAGTAACTGACTGGTCATCTCATTAGAACTCAGTTGTACACAGTGGTGTTTATTAAATGAATGACATTAATCTGCAGAACACAGCAGCTAATAGAAAAGCTAGGATTTATACTTGGAATTCTGTTGCTCTAGAGCCCAATCTCTGCTTCTGTGTCACAGTGTTAATCTGAGACAGCAGCTGTCTCACAGAGGAGGTTGGGGAGTAAAAGGCTGTTGGTACTTAAAGCACTGACTTAGATTCTGAAATTCAGAATTGGAGTATTCTTAATGGCTTGCTGTCTCTGCTCCTGTGTGCCTTAGATGCCAGTTGATGTTCCTCTGTGGGTTCCTGTGGGCACTGCCGTATTTGGAAGCTGCGCAGCATGCAGGCAGTTCTGTGTTTTTGCAGTAAGACAGAGAGGGTGCTGGAAGAGATGAGTGCTTGGGTTGCTTTGCCAGATTGATTAATGAGCAATGAATATTGCTGAGAATGGAAGCACGTTGAACAGCGCAGATCAGCTCTGTGCTGGGATGCTTCTAGCAGTCCTTTATGGAAAGCTGTGCTCTGCTCTTGCCAGCATGGAGCGATGCTCTGCTGTAGTGCAGTGTCTCTGTGCTGGGAATGACAACGGTCATAAATAAGAGTGCCACAGCTTGAAAATCTGTTCTGTTGTCGCACAGGGAACATTTGAGTTGAGTTGCATCGTTCAAAATATGTTTTTAATAACAAATGCAATGGTGAAGGAGGAGTTCTGCAGAGCTGCATGCATGGCAGGAGGGTTGGTAGGCTGGTAGCTGCTGAGCTGGCTTGGGCTTACACGATGGTTTGTGTGCGTCGTTCTGCTGAGCACGGGGAGAGCTCTGTCCTGAGCTGTCAGCTGATGATGCAGTGATTGTGGAGAGTTTAAAGTACTTACATGACATGTCAAACATACAGAGCGAGTCTACCTGGTGGTGGATTAGAAGAGCTGGCCAGGCAAGGCAGCGGGTCGCACATGGGTGATCCTGAGGGAGCTACGTTGTCTGTGGAGGGTTTGCTTCCAGTGAACGATACGTGCGCAGTCAGGGCTGTTGTGTCAAGAGAGCTTGAGATGGATCAAACCGGTGCTGATCCATTTTCTTCCTTTAGAATGTCTTGCTGAGCAGGGTTTCTGGTAGACTTAAGACTGAATGATGACTTTCCCTGCTCTGAAGCCTGTCTGCTTCTGCCTACCTTTCAGACAGCACTTGGCATGCAGCGCTGCTGCACTGTTTGTCTTATTATAGAATCACACTGGGTTGCACAGGAGCACAGTGCTCACCCAGCTCCAACCCCCTGCTGTGTGCAGGTCACCAATCAGCAGCCCAGGCTGCCCCGAGCCACATCCAGCCTGGCCTTGAATGCCTGCAGGGATGGGGCATCCACAGCCTCCTTGGGCAGCCTGTTAACACATCTTAGGCTCTGCCTCCTCCCTCCTTTCATCTCTTGGCTGTTTTCCCACCACCTTCTGTGCTGATGCCTGTGTGCAGCCCAGCATGGCATGGGCTCCTGCTCCTCCTCCAGCAGTGTGCTCAGCATTTATTGCCCTGTTCCTCAGGAGCATGAGGACCCCTGGTTAACTTGCATCGATGCAATCAATGCATCCGGCTGATGCTATTCAAGTAATATCCTAAGCAGTTTGTGAGCTCCAGAGCTCGTGAAATTAAAACCTGTACATTTATGACACTGTTGCAAGAATGGGAAATTATAGTATCCATGCACTGCAGCCTGGAGGAGAAGCTGCTTCCAAACATACTTAAAGTTCCTAGGAAGCATTATAGTAGTACTTGAAGTATTTAGTGTATAATTTTTATGGTTAATATGAAAAGTGATTAAAAATACAGAGAGCAAATTGCTCAGGTAAGTGGCTTAAACTGAGAAGTTAATAAGCTTTTAGCAGGCTGCATGGCCGTGTTCATTCTGAAAGCCCATCTCACAGGCAGGTTTGCCTTCTGCAGTTATCGGTAATGATATAATTGTTTCCTCAATTTATCAGCAGTGTTACAAAGATAAAGGAATGTGAAGCACTGACATTTGGTGAACGATAATGCACATAATTTTGCAGCTGTGAGTACAGATACCAACTACTAGGAGCTGTGTTTTCCATAAGGAAAGGATTCTGCTGTTATTCTCCAGTATATTACAGAGCATGAATTTATGTACTTGGAATTTGGGATATTCAAAGTGAATAATGGCATTTTGTTTTCCCGCCTAGAAATGGTGGGAGTTGTTTTATGTCTCTTGGAAGAAGGCAGTGCTTGAGTATTTGTGCAGAGGAAGCATCAAGGTTTCTGTCTGCCGCATCGTGCAGTGCCACATGGTTGGAGCTGCGGCTCATTTGGACCCAAGTCAGACGTGCTCACGTTAGCTGTGTTGTCTGGCACTGCCCTGCTGGGGGAGCTGCTGGAAGCCTTCCTGAAAGCACTGCAGCTTGGTGCTCCTGAGTGGTTCGTGTTTTTGGAACTGCTTTGCACCGAGCAGCTCAGGCTTCAACACTGAGCTTCCCATGGGGAGAAGCAGCTGCTGGCACAGCTCTGGGTTATGCGAAGCACACACTGCCTGCCTTGTGGCATTCTGTTTTGTGTCCCAGTGGGGTTGGTGGCCTGCAGAAAGGAGCTTGGTTGTACCAAGGGGAGAAAAGCTGTAGCCCTCCGATGGGCCGTTGTATCCCCCTGGTACTCTAACTTGGATACCAAGGAATGGGGGAGCTGGCAGGAGCTGGAGGTGAAGGTGTTGGTGGCAGAACGATAACAGTGGAGGAAGTGAAGACCCAAAATTGTGGATGTCAGAATGAAGGAGAGTTGGAGAACGGAAGATGTGTGGGGTCTGCATGGGCTGCCGAGGTGGTTCCTGCCTCTCCACTCACAAATCCTCTCCAAACAGCTGGGAAGCACTGAGCGCAAGCTCTACTTCTGTGGATACAAGCAGATAGCTTCGGGGCACCTCAGATGGGATGCCTTTGTATTTAATGGCCATGTGCTACAGCTCCCAGTCTGTAACACAAGAGCAGCCCTGTGGGAACCCGATCAACCCTGCGATGTCACACAGCTCTCTTAGTTCAGGCACTTCAGGGAGGAGCACACAGTGAAATCTTTGGGAATACTTGACTTTAGTTGCAGCCTTCCTGAAGTTTTGGCTTTGTTCGTTAAGCCCGTGCTTTTAGTTGCTTTCTGTTTTATCTACCCTCCAGCTCCAGTTAAGACCAGTTAATTTTCACTTTGATGATATAAATGAGGTTGCATTACAATACGCCTATTGAAAAAGCTTTTTGTTCCAACTTACTCTGTAATATTGTCCTGCTTGGTCCTGAGACCATTATAGAGAAACTCATCCCTCTCAGTGATTTGCAGTGCCTGTTTTGGTTGGTTTTTGTATTGTTATTTATTGCACGTGGGCATAGAAATGAGCAGTCAGTGGTTCTTTTACTGGCAGACGTGCAATACCAGGTTACAAACATAAGAGGCTGTACACTTTTTTTTTCCCCTCCCTTTTGGCTTCAGAAGATGGGAAAATCAATATGTTTTTCTTTGTATTAGGATAAATGCACTATTTAAGTCAACCCATTGCCTCGTGTTATTGATTGATAAGTACTGCTTCTAGTTGCTCAGCACCTGAAATTCCAAACCACGTGCAGTTCAGATAGCAGAGCCAGCAGGTTCTCCTGGATCTGAATTCTGCAAGTGTAAATGCAGGTGTGATAAATGCATGTGTTGTAGGTCTTCCAAGCGTTTGTGCTTGACAGAAAAAAACGACCGAGTTCCTTGCAAGAAGCACCTGAAACTAATGTTAAAATCATGAGTGGCCTCAGGGCCACCACGCGGTGGGGCAGTGCTGCCCTGCAGGTGGACTGGTGCACTTACAAAGTGCTGTTCAGTGAGTGCTGGCACGTGAAGAAGTGACAGCAGAGAATTAGCCAAGAAGCAGCCGTGGCTCCATCTTCAGGTCTCAAACCTATTAGTTCCAGAACGTGCTTTGCTGATGAGGGAAGTCGGTGTTCTGTTGGAAGTGGCCAGCTAAGTCTTCTGCAGTGCCCACACTGAGTGATATGGCTGATTAGATGCTCAAACAGCATGCTGATATGAAGCAGTGGGCTCAGTATAGGTAATGCTTCCCATTTCCTTCTCTGTAAGTGCATAAGGTTATCAGCTAGAGCAAATTCTCTGCTTGATTTCCTTAAGTTCTTTACAGAGAGAGAGAGTGGAGAGGTGCTGGAATAGCTGCCCAGAGAGGCTGTGATGCCCCGTCCATCCCTGGAGGTGTTCAAGGCCAGGTTGGATGGGGCCCTGGGCTGCCATGAAATGTGGAGGTTGGTGGCCCTGCTCATGGTGGAGGGTTGGAGCTTCATGATCCTTGAGGTCCTTTCCAACCCAAGACATTCTGTGATTCTGTATGATTCCTTCTGCCAGGTTTTCAGCCTTCCTTCACAAGAAAATGTTCCAGTCTTTCTGCTTGGTAAATCTCAGCCTTACTAAACCTGGGGATTTTCCATCCTCCCCCTTTTCAGCCCTGTACTTCTCTGTGCACCCAGTGGTTTCCCAGATGATGCACAGAGCTTCCAGGGCTGTGGCTGGAGCAGCCTGCAACCGGCTTGTGTACAGCCCTGCAATGGCTCATGCAAGTAGCAACTTTCGCCCTGCTCTATTCTTCCCTTGTGCTTTAACACACACCTTGTGTAGCTGGCCAGGGCTAGGAAGGTGCTGAGAAAGCAGTGTTGTAATATCCAGGAGCCCAGGACTCTGGGAGGAATGAATCTAAGGCAGAAATCAGACTGTTGTTATCCTGTTCCCTCCTTTTTATGGCTCATCTTCGGGGAGGGCTGATCAGACAGCAGCAGTCACTGTAGCTCATTTCAACTACATTCTTCTCTTTTGCTATCAAGAGACAGTTGTCAGTTTTAATACTGATAACAGCCTAATAAGATTAATAAAGAACTGTCACATAAAAGACTTTGTTTTGTTCCTCTTAAAGACTCTACAGACAGAAGGGAAAGGGAATAAGGGATAGTAAACAATAAATTCACCCTTCAAATGCTTCCTTCTTCTGGACTGCCTTTCCGTACACCTTTAGAGGTGGTGATGAGTGCTCTGTGCTGGCTGGTGCTGGAGTGCTGTGCTGCCTGCAGCCAGGTTTGGCAGCCCCAAGGCTGTGCTTCAGCACTTGCCTGCTGCCCTGGCCCAGCAGCAGGAGCTGACTGAGGAGCATCCCGTGACACCTGTGCTGTGTGTCAAGATTTATTGCAGGCTGGTGCAATAAGTGGCAACCCTATGCTGCAGAATGGGTCCCAAGCTGGTGGACTAGACCTGAGAGATCCACTGTCAGTGTTACTGTCTGGTTATAAACCCTCCCTCTGCCTTCAGCTGGTTTAAACAGCATCGGTTGTGATTCAGCAAACAGTTCTGAAGTGTCTTTGTGATCACAAGTGATAGACTTAATTTTTCATTTTAAGTAGCAGCTGGGATTGTGCAGTGCCTGGATGTGGCATGTTGAGTCATGGATGGGCTGTGCAGTGGTAATGGTGCCCAGAAACCAGCGGGGATCCTGAGGCCAGGGCTAGCATGAGGGGAAACCAGCTTGAGCCTCAGAATGGCTTGGGTTGGAAGAGATCTTAAAGGTCATCTAGAGATAATGATGCTGGTACAGGTTGATATTTATTTTATGAATAGAAGTTGAAAACAAGCAAGAAAACTGTTGCTTTGAAAAGAACTGGTAATGGTATACAGCCCTCTGTAGGTGATGATTAAGGCTTCTGTGTTACTAGCTTCACTGGCTCTCCGTTGAAAGTATTTAATCAACCTCAGTTTAATTGGTATTTATTTTCATACAGCCTTCATAATATGTGTGTGCATTGAGAGCCTTCCAAATATTTACTACCTTAAGCATACACGGGAAGTATTGTAAATCCCTTAGGATGCTCCTCAGCACTTTGACAGCTGAGTTTTGGAATCCTTTTCCTAAACTACCACAGGTCATTTGGGTAGTGTTGAAATGGAACTGCTGGTGAAAGGAAAGCTTTGATATAAGTTGGGCGTTGCGTGGTCGTGTGTTTGGTGTCTGCTTCTATGGGAAGAGGCAGATCAGCACTTGGAAGTGGAACTCCATTTGTGTCAGAAAGGTTTCCTTTAAAGAAAGTTAATTCTTCATCAAGACACCCCGAAAGTTCCTTTAACTTTGTAGAAGGTCTTTGTAAAACCTGTTTGATTTTCTTCCTTTTCTTTCTTTCATTTGGGTCTTTTGGGAGACACTCGTGGTTTTTTTGGAGGGGGGAAAAATGTTTTCCTGTAGGCAGAACTGAAGAAGCAGACTGAAAGAATGTAATAACAATCAGGATTTGCTGTGAAGCTGACAAGCATGGATCTGCCATGTGAAAATGGATCTTCTGGATGCAACTAGAAAGTTTACTTAAATGATGTGCTGTGATAAAGGAAAGGTACAATAGAAACTTCCATATTTGTGCCTGTAGAGCCTTTTCTACACAGATGGCAACATCTGGGATCTCATGTTTGCAGGCAGAGTTTGGAGATCAGACATGTTCACTGCATTTCTGCACTGCACTCCCTTTGGTATGTTATCTGAGAACCCTCACTGCTCGTTCAGCTGCTTCTCCAGTAGCTGCACACCAAGATGTGCTGCCCACCTCGTGTGTCTTTCCCTACTGCTGCTGTAGAGCACTGGGAATGAAGGTTGGAAAAGAGCATCAATGTGGGTTTTGTTGTTCTGGCAGACAGCTGCTGTGCTGCTGCTCAGGATGTGCCTTGGCAAAAACAGATTTGGAGAAAAAGCCACTGGTCATAATTTTGTCCTGCTCAAGATTATCCAGATGAGAGTTTTTTTACTCCTATTTGCAAGGCGTTTGCTTCTTGAAACTCGAGTAAACAGTCAATAAGGGTGTTTCTAAAAAACCCTTTCCAGAAGTTTTTGGAAATTCTCCCAGTGAAATGGGATTGGTTTCTGCAAAGAGCTGCTTTCCTGCCCCTGCCAATGGCTGAAGAAGTGCCCAGCTCCTGAGAAGAACCATCCTGAAGCAGCCTATGGGGCAGGCTGAGCCGGGGGATCCTCCTGCTGGGATGGGTGGTGTTCAGTGGGCTCAGTGAAAGGTGTGGTGACCCCAGGCAGTGATGCGCTCCAGTATTAACAATTACAGGGGTATCCTCATGTCGAGGAATTATTTAGTAGGAGAGAGCAAGTGGAAGCCTCATCAAAGGCAGGGAAATCACCCAAACTCCTCTTTCAACTGGCTGATGAAACTTTAATAACGGAGCTGATGAAACTTTAATAAGGATGGCCTGCTAGCTCCAGGAGTTCTACTCAGTTTTGGCAATGCAGGATTCTGTTGCTTTGTTGCTTTGCTCAGCTCTATGGGAGACGTGTGTTCTCCAAAAGAAGAATCAGTGGAGAAGTGAACAACCTTTCTGCTCATGTACCCTACAGGAGGCTGGCAGGAAAGTAATTCTCCTTGCAATGTTTGTTTTCCAAGTGTTGCAGAAAGAGTTCAATTGGTTGCTCCCACTGAAGGTGGCTGGGTTGCAGGCAGTGATCTCGTGCAGTTGGAGCACGGAACCCAACCAACACCTGTGGTTGTTCTCAAGTGAATGAATGCAAAAATCACCAAAACAGTCCAAGTAATCAGAACATGAGGTCTTTGGAGATTTCCATTGCGACTTTGGGAGAGTAACCTAGTTTTCATCTATCCACGGTGGAACGAATAAGATGTTGATATCGTTTGTTGGTGTTTCTTTGCCTGCATGCCTGATGTATTAGTGCTCATACAAGTATTGAAATGGATTCCTCTTGGAGGTGATATCCAGTAGTAATAATGGAGCTTTTTTATGCTGCTTACTGGAAATATTTGACTTCTGTTTTGCTAAGACGGAGGGCTTATTTTGTTGGCAAATAATGGTTTATTATAAGATTGAGAAGCAGAGCTGCTGAAATTGAGGAGAATAGTCTCAAGAGCCCCAATTAGCTGTAAGTGGAACAATTTCCTTTCCTAAAGCACGGAACGTCTTTCCTCTACCCCAGAGCTGAGAGCAGGAATGTTTGGCAGCAAGAGCATCCAGGTGTCTGAAGGCCCACACAGGGCACCTGGCCATGGAGATGCGTGGGGCTGGGTTGTGTCCCCTGTCCAGAGTGGGGCAGTGGTGGGGCTTCTCTAGGGGACAGTCATTGCTGCTGAGCTGGCAGTGAGGCCCCTTGGTGCCTTCTGAGCCCCCCAGGGCCAGGCACTGGCTCGGCAGTGGTGCAGAGGTGCGGGAAACCCAACAGATTGAGGAAATGTCTGCTGTGATCAAGCAGGGATTTGTGCTCGGCTACAGTTGGCTCTCAGTGCCTGAAGGGTTTCCACATGAGCTGAAAACATTTGCTAAATAACATAATAAGCTAATGATTGCTTAATTTTTGAATGCATAGCTCAGTGTAGAGGGAGTAACAGCTGGTGTTTGTCAAATGAGGTTTTTCCTTAAGACTTTCTACTGCTCATTTTCTTGTTTATTTAAGATATTTAGCCAAGATTGAGCTCCAAAGGTCTTCCCCTTATGCTTCTCAGACATCAAGGTAAATGTTATGTAGTCAGAAGTGAGTTTGAGCCTGCGTTTTGTGGGCAGCTGCTGAGTTCCTGCTCAAGGCAGTCTTATAGTGCAGGACAAAGGGGGAAGGATTTAAACTGAGAGAGGGGAGATTTAGGTTGGCTGTTCAGAGGAAATTCTTCACTCAGAGGGCACTGAAGCCCTTTCCAACCTGAGCCATTCTACGATCATATGAAGTTTCTGCATGGTGTGTGCTCAAGGTGAAGGCACCTGCATATGAAGGTTGTACAGCTTAGCTGTTTGCATGCACAGAGCAGGGCAGCAGTCCAGCTGGTAACATTGATGTCTGGTTAATGTAATGGGCAACACAAACATTCAGATCTAAAATCAGAGAGCTTTTATTTAGCAAAAGTCAGATATGGGTGTTTGTGCATCGTTATGAACCATGACAGATGAAGTGAACACAGATCAATACGTTCAACTGCTTGGCTTCTTCTATTATTGAGGTTTTTATCATTTAAATTTAACAACTCTGCGCAGCTTATACATCACTCAATATTGCCTTGTGTTGTCCCTTCAGGTTGCAAGGCTGTGTTCTCACGCCTAGGGTTTAAAGCTCAGAGCTCTGGAAGAATAACAGCAAGAAGGGCTGGGGCCATGGTGCCAGCACTATAGCCTTGCCAAAGGCACTGCATGAAACACAGCTTCCTTTTTATAGAGTCTTAAGTTTGGAAAATACCCTCAAGGTCATTAAATCCAACCACCAGTGGTGCTGCTACGAGTGCTTCCTAAAGAAATTAGCATGGCTTTGTGAGACATTGGAAACATTATCAAAGTGCAACATCTTATTAGAAGCAGATGTTCATTAAGGTCCCTTCCAACCTCAGCAGTCTGCAGTCCTATCTCATGATGTTGGAGGCAAGGTTAAGAATGTTCTGTGTGTTTGTGCTGCCTTTAATTCAGAATGCTGGAAGCATGCTTACATCCATCCCAATGAAATTATTGCATCTCTTTCTGCAGGTGGCTGCCGGCGTGGTCCCAGCCCAGTGGGCAGCCCTCCAAGCCTGGCGCTGCTGGCAGTGGAGGCTGAAGCCCCCCCAGGACCACCCCCATCCAGCATCCCACAGTGCCGCCTGCTCACCCTCTCACCCCTCAGGATCCCAGTGCTGGGCTCCCCTTTCCCAGGTAAGGTTGTTTGGGTCGGTGTGGAGAAGCAGCACCGTGTGCTCTGCAGCACAGACAGCCTCTGTGCGTTCTGCTGCTGTGCTTTGGTAGCTGCAAGCACACAGCTGCTGTGTGAGCACACACACCTGGGCTTAAATTGTTTTCTCTGGTACTGCTTAAAGGTGTTCTCTGATAGCATGTGTTAAAATTTTGTGCTCGTTAGTAATCTTTTAGTATACTGGGACAGTTGTGGGCAGTATGTGAACTGAGCTGCATCCTCTGTCACCTTTGGGAAGGAAATGTGGTCCTAATGGCGCTGGGACTGTGTGCCAATGGGCTGGCTGCAATGTTGGCAGTTGAAAGATGTCTGTTTGACATAAAGGGACAGAATGGCAGATCAGCCTGAGTTGAAAGGAACCCCAGGTGTCACCGAGTCCAGCCCGTGTCCCACATAGCAGCAATGAACCTCAGACCCCATGGCTGAGAGCGGTGTCCCAGTGCTTGCTGAGCTCCAGCAGCTTGGAGCTGTGCCCACTGCCTCTGTAGCACAGCCCTCTCCTAACCCAACCAACCTTCCCCTGCCACAGCTCTGTGCTCAGATCCTGTCACTGTCACCGGCGAGCAGAGCTCAGTGGTAACGTTTGGGACAGAAGCAGATTGCTTCCTTACAAAACCTGCTAGAGGAACGTAGCCTTGGGTTCTGCACGCTTCCTTACAGGTTTGGGTGTGGATGATGTGCCTGTGGTTGCTCACTGCAAAACCTGCTGTTTCCTCTGCATGGCACTGCATGTGGTACCTGGGGGGCTCTGCAGCATCACCCTGCTGTGTGAGTCTCCTCTTCTAGGTCTTCGTGGTCATTTTTGGAGCTATTTGTGCTTTGGATGCTTAAGGCTATATTTTTGAAACACGGTGTTCCAATTGAGTTTAAAAATGTATTTTTGGCACCTTTTCCATCTTTTTGGTACTTGAAGTGTAACGCAGCACAACGCAGCGAGATTGAAATTGGCAGGAAGTGTGCAGTTATGATATTGGGTGTTCAGATGAAATCTTCACATGAGAAATGGATCTCTGTAATTATCGTTCCTGTTGAGCAGCCATCATAATGGTGCAGATAAAAACAGCTACCGGGGAAGGGCTACAGGGTGTGAAGAGCTCATGTCCCCGCAGGGATACGGTCTCCCAGCTGTTACAAAGGACCATCCTGCCAGCAGAGCACAGAGCTCTGTAGGTGCTGCCATGGGGAGCGGAGCTGAGGGCTTCCCATGGGATGTTTTCTGACCCACAGTGATCACTTCACCCCTCTGAAAATGAGCATCTTACAGGAGAATTGGAGGGTAAGAGAGTCGTTCTTTATCCGTGCTGAAATACAGATTTAGATGCTAGATGTATTCTTCCTTGAATTGAGATGCTCGGGCATTCCTGGGAGAAGCAGTTGCAGGACTTCTGATTTACAGCTGCAGCACTGAGCCCTGCATGAATTGTATTAGGCACGATAGAATATTATAATATCAAGGAGCTATAGAGTTAAGATAAGTGGCTTGGTTCTGCTGTGATAAACATGTCAGGCCATGATAATTGTTGCTTTCCTTTCGAATGACTGTGTGATAGGCTATCAACTACCATGCTGTGAGTGCCCAAGCAATCAGCCCATTATCAATCATTCACAGTACAGCACACGCTTCTGGGTGTGTTCTCCTACGGAATATATAGCAGCTTTTTAGGAAAGAAAGCTTGGAAATGCCCGGCACATATAAAATAAACTCAAGATTCAGCTAACCATTTTTCTCTATTAATCATCCTCTCTGGAGGGCTGGCTATTTCCTTTGCAAAGGCTTACATAAAACATTTTTATGAAACTCCTTTTTATTGTGCTCACGGTGAAGAGGACTCTGAGGTGTTCACTTTAAATTATCTTTGTCAACACGAGCTTGATGGAAAGCTTCCTGAGCTGCGGCGGAGCACTGAGGATGGCGGCGAGACCTGGGAACTGGGAGAAAAGGAAAGTAATGAATGGGAGTTTTCATGAGCTCTAACGAACGAATCAGAATTGGGATAGGTGTGAGTAAAAAGAAAGATGTGTGGGGTGAGTCCTTAGCACAGAGTGGAGCGGGGAGGCTTGCTGTGCAAGCTGCTGGGAGATGCGCAGCAGAGCGTGATGGAGTTGGTGTTACTTGGAGGGAAGGAATGGTTGGTGGTCAGGTTGGTATCACAGCCTGCTCCAGAGAGCAGCCAGGTGCTGGCACAGCTGCCCAGGGGTGGGCAGTCCCCATCCACAGAGGCATTCAGAGCTGCAGGGATGCAGCACCGAGGGATGTGGGCTGTGGGCACGGTGGGGGTCTCAGAGGGCTTTTCCAGCCTGAGTGGTTCTGTGGTTCTGTGACTCTAACAACATTATCTCACATAAACTTTCAACAAGGAGAACATGGGAAGCTCATTAATTACTGGGTTAGTCTATCAATCATACATGAAGCAAGAGGAATGCAGCCGCCCCAGGTCTGCAGATAATGCTCTCTCACAGATCTGTTTTTCTTCGAGATCCATGAGTCGTCTTTAATAACGTCAGCGTGACGATGATGCTTTTAGCTGAAGGGGAGGCAGGGTTTAAAGCACGCTGTATGCCTGGCATTTTCTGTACATTAAATTCTGCTTTCTTGAGGCTTCCCCAGTCATTAACTTATACAACAATAGTGAAGCAGAGTGCTGAGCTGCTTTTGGCCACTGACCATTCTTCTCCAAGTTATACCAACTCCACCACCACTGCTGTGTGCCTCTCAGCAGCTGCAGTGTACAGGGCAGCCTCCCCACGTTCTCCTTCCTGCCTCAAACCACACCAGACAAGTCCTGTGGTACAGCTCTGAAGTGTATTTCAGAGGTGTTGGATGCATTGCTCTGTTTGCTGTCTGCCACAGTGCAGGCTTCTGTCCTAAAAGCAGTACCAAAGGAAAGGGGTGACTTTGCCAGCTTCTAATGATGGATGTCCTGAATATCTTCTGGAAGCAGTTAAAGCTGTAATTGTTAGGGACTTCTGCTGTGACAGAACGACTGCTTGGCACCACTTTACTTCAAGTGGTGAAAGGGAATTCCAGCCAAAGCCAGTGGTGGCCAATGTCCCATTCTGGGTTTGGGAGCACAGATAAAAAGTGCCAGATGCTCACTGCCAGAAAACTCCTAATCCCTGGGTAAAGAGCTACCTGGGAGCAGATAAAGCCAGCAGGGTGAAGCCAACAAGGTGGTGCGTTTGGCATCCTGGAGAGCTCTGGGCTTCAGTTCTTTTGTTCAGTGGCATTTTTGTTTCTCCTTGCTTGGAGAACCTGGTAGCGTTGAGTAAATTGTCTGCACTCTGCACGTGTGGAGCTGCTTTGCAGAGCTCTGGTCGTCGTCATGGTGAAAAACCTGAGCAGAGTGTTTCTGTGGTTTCTGCTGCACGTTGGGGCAGGTGGTTTAACATCAGTGAGCAAACATGGAGAACAGTCCAGAAATGCTACCAGAGCTCAGCTTTAGGTTAGTTCTTCCTTTCTTCCTCTTCCCCTTTTCTATCTCTTGGTGGTTCTGCTTGTACGTTCTGTTTAAATATTTAATGCCATTCTTGCTGTTAACGTGGGTTTTGTGCCAGCGTTAACATAAAGACCAAATAAAAGCTTGTGGAAAGCAGCTATGCAGCGATCTGTGCTGCATCCTTGTGCTCATTTGCTCTGCTGGTAAGAAGAGAACTTAATTTTCCAGTGCTATCAAGCCAAGGCTTTGAAGAAGACTCTCTCTTAGGAAAAAAAAAGGCAATAAAATCCTAGCATGTAGAGTTATTTGGTGCTTCAGGTATGGGATGGCTGGTAATCTCAAATGTCTTTTTTATGGCTACTGTATTAGGGGCGAGGGGATTTTTTTTTTCACATCCCATTTCTTAATTATTCAAATGGAAAAGGTAAGGTATGAGCGTGCAGTTATGGACTCTGTAAATTAGCAGCCAGTACAAATATTAAAAAAGACACCATCTGCCATATAAGCCATTTGCCACCTGTTCTCTTCCTTTCAGAATTATTTAATGGTTTACATTTAATGGTTCAGCCTGCCATGGAACAGCTGGGAAGTGACTAAGTATTTTTCCTATCAGTAACTTAGCGGCCAAGCAACACTGTGTGTTCAAAACACCTCTCAGTGCCAGAGCTTTCCACATGCTCCTTCATGTGTCTGTCAGCTTGCTTCATTAGTGAATTCTGCTGATACAAAACACATTTTCATAACAACAATTACTCAGTTATTTTGACAGTATTTTTGGGGGGAAACAAAGGGTTTTTCTTCTGCAGTAGAGGAGCGAAGGCTGCTGGCTGTGCTGGAGTGCTGCCCTCCCCACTGCTTTGTCTGGGGGAACACTGGGGGGATGGGGAAATTTGTTCCTAACAAATAATTGAATGGAGGGCTGAGGCCTGTCCTGTTCTGTGCCTGGGCTTCTGGGGCTGTGATGGTGGTGCACTGGGTGGCAACTTGCCTCGTGTGTCTTTTTAGCATTGTAAGTGTCCAACTCAATGGTTTGATGCTTTTGTTGTCCTCTTTTTTACATTAAAAAAAAAAAAAAAATGTTGTGTATATACATTAACTATAGCATATGTTTTATATGAGGTCTGTGCAATTCCTCCTCGCTCAGTGCGGCCCAGGTGAGCCAAAATGTTGCACACCTGTGGTCTAACTGATACAGCCCGGGAGTTCATAGTCCTATGTGAACAAGTAGTAATGTTTTCAGATCACCAGAGGAGCAGTTCCAGGTATTCCAAGCAGAAGTGTGGCACTGACGTACTGGGAAGCTTCCCCCCTCCCTCCTGGTCTCTTGTGTGCCTAGCAGTAACAGCCACTCATCTTGGCGCACGGAGCATTTCTAACGAGCTCGTTGTAAATGATCTGCCCAGCTTTAATGCTGTGTAACGAAGCAAGCAAATGGATGTTTATAGTTATTAAAGTGATAACTTCCTGCTTGAGCTAATATCCAGCATAAAATTACTTTTCAGCTTCGTATCTGTGTTGACGCGTGC